CCAATCAACTTAGTCTTTTATTCCTTTCCACATTCTGAAACTTTTCTTCCTCTCTTCTCACTGAAACCCTAAAACTTCCAACAATCTTCAACAATGTCTTCTACAACATCATCCTAACTGAAGAAAACTTCCAAAAAGAAAGGCAAGAACACAGGAACAATAATGGAAAGCAAAATTGGTACTTATCAAGGTCAATTTGTGCTTATCCCCCAAATGATCTCCAAAGAAAAGGAAATGATCTACGCCTCTCAGGTACTAATTCCAACTAACGCTGCTGGAAAGAGGTTTGCTCTAATGGGTCCTCTTACAGTCTTTGAAATCTTAAAAGATACTAGAAAAATCTTCCCTGTTTGTTATAACTTTAAGCCCTTGTTTAATAAGATGGATATCCCTAAGATAGGCGAGTCTTCTGATTCGACAACCATAGAAACTCCAACCGTTCCCCCAAAAGATCCCTTTGTGTTAGACTACGTGAAGAGCAACTTTAAACCATTCCGATCCTGCCCTACCTCTGACATAGCTTACCAAAACTGGCTTACCAAAGTAGAAGCCAAGAAATCCCAGCAATGGGAGGAATTAGGAATTTATAATCTGATTAAGTTATCGAAACCAGGCTTCACCTATAGTCATCCATTATTATTTGTATCCTTATATTTCTGGGACAGCACCTACAACACCTTTCATCTTCCTGGGGGAATGATAACACCCACATTTTTCGATATAGCAGCCATCACTGGTTTGTCACCAGTAGGAGAAACCTACATCCCTGATAATGAAGAACACTCCAGCATTATTGACTTCGAAGTCAAATTATCCAGTTTTTCCAAATTCATTAGCCATTACCACACTGAAGGAGATAATGTGTCAGATGTGGAACATATTGCTTTCCTCACTTTATGGTTATCGAGATACGTATTCTGCAGCAGGTCCTTACATGTAGCAAGCAGGTTCATCCCTCTAGCTAGATACTTACATGAGAATAGGAGGGTGTGTTTGAGCGAACTGTTACTTGTTGATCTTTACGAAAGCTTAAGATCAGCCGTTTCGAGTTTGAAATCCCATACTCCCAAAAACATCCTTCTAGCTGGCCCCTTCTGGTTACTCCAATTATGGCTTAATGCCATGTTTGAACCCTCATTATCCACTGCTGACACCGTTGTTGAACAAGATCCGGAGATAGCGGATAGAATTATTGAAGGTACCAGACTGTGAAAACTGACCCCGAATGATGACAAAGATGACTTCAAAGTCCTTTTCTCAAAATACATCATGATTTTTTCCAAAAGACACAAATTTGAAGAGACCATGGCACCCTTTGCTTCAAGGACTCATGGACCATCATGGTTCACCATGGCTCTCTCAGAAGCAGTTAAAAGCAAAGAAATTCAAGATATTTGGAAAGCCTTTTTGCTTCCTAGATTAATTTCCTCACGAATCACTCCTTCCAAGAATCAAATCTTCCTCTTTGCCTATCAACCTAACTTTGTTTCTAGACAATTTGGCATGTACCAACTAATCCCTGAACCTCTGTTCCAAACAGAGAGTGCCATCACTTCTGGTCGAACCTTTAAAGCAAGAGAAGCCAAACTGCAACAGCAACAATATCAAGGCTTCGCTCAATTTGAACTACTACCCTTTGAACCCACACACTTCACAGCGAAGGGTTTACTAGAATGGTGGACTAAGTTCTACCAATCTTATATGTTCGATACCCTCTCCATTCAACAGAAACTAACTGATGCGTTCGATGTGCAGGTACACTCCAAGAAAGGTATGTTCACTCACGCCAAAGAGATTAGGGCTTTTCAAAATTATTTCGAAACCACTTATGATCCCACACACTTGGAAACCACTGTGCATCAAGCGGCTAAGACCTTGAAGGAAAAATTTAAAGAAAAAATTTCTAAGCTCAAACTTCCTTCAGGGTTGTCACCTGAGGATAGGTATAGGTTGGCACTCGAAATGCATCCACCTAAATTCCCTAGATTGCCTACCTCAGAACTGGCTCTGGCTTGGTTTCCTCCATACCCTTGGTGGTTCACTTGCAAAGAAATGTTCAAATACCTTCAAAAGAAACCAAAGCCATCTGAGACTGTGACATGGGCTCGTCATTGGATCCATGATTTCCCAGGACATCTTCGCTATGACCTTTCTGCCATGTCGATTATATCTAATCAAGGCGCAGGTGCGAATGCTTGGGGAAATCCCAAATGTTTCTTACTTTCTTCGTTTTTAACTTTTACCTTAATTGTTTCGATTTTCAGCCATCAGGATAAAGTCTGTCGCTTCGAAGTCTAAAGAAGGAAGTGCCTCCCAACAATCTGTCGAAACCACTGATGATGTGACCTTATCCATACCAACAACAACTACTGCAACAACAACAACACCAGTAATAACAACTGTTCCAACTCCACAGGTAATCAATTAGCCCTGATGTTTCGAATAAACTGAATTTCATGATTTAGATCCAACTCATGTTTAAATCTTTTCAGACTAACAAACTCCCACCAACCACTCCGAAGAAAAGAAAAACAAGCACTACTGGGAAGAATCCCAATGCTGGAGGGAATTCACCAACTGCTTCGAAGAAGAAGCAAAAGAAAGAAATTTCCAAAGGCGCTGAACCAACTGGCATTTCTGGACTCGATTCCAGAGATGCTGCTCCCTCAACTAAATCCAAAAATCCACCTTCGACCTCCAACGTAATGTTGGAACATATAGATAGCAACCTTTCCTCTGAGAATCCACAGGTAAATTGAACTTCGAATTTTTTGCAAAAATAGTCATTCATTAACTTGGTGCATGCTCTTAATATTCTTTGTCTCTGTAGGGCATTTCGAACCCAACTCTTACCACTTCGACTTCTCCATCAAAGACTGCTGCTCCCATCAACTCTTCTCCTCATGGGGACTCCAGTAACCTGGTGCAAAACAAAGGATCCTCCAACATGGCGGTTCCGACTGGGGCTTCAGAGCAACAAGATGACCAAAGCACTTCTCCTCCTTTGAAGGAAACGAATGAAGCGACGCTTCATGAATCTGCAGAGATTTTACTAGAAACTTCTCTTCAAAAGTCTCTTCTCGAAACCCTTCAATAGAACCCAAAGGACATTCAAGCTGAAGAGGAGAAGGCTGATTCTGATCAAGAGAACGAAGAATCTGCAGAGGAAGGATCCGAGGAAGAAGATGCCAATAGCAGTGAGAACAATGATATCGAAGTGGTGGATCTGGTTGATAATAAAGAAGGCAATGAGCAGGAAACAAGTGAAGGTGATGGTGACCAGACCAATGAGCCTATGGAAGTCGAAATGGATGTGACTCCCTTGCGTATGGAACTTCCTCAATCATCTCAATCTCAAATGACTGAAGAGGAGCTAGCTCTCCTAAGACGAAATGACCCAATTGGGTATATGAAGGCAAAACTAGCTCAAAGGGATATTCCTCTTGCTAGGGCTGGTACTAGTTCGACTAACAATCCATTGCCCTCATATGATAGAGTTGTACTCCTTAACAGAATTAGGAGAACAATCCTTGATGTGGACTTGTTCGAAGTGCTCAAACAGGATAGTACAGCTTGCTATACCATGAAGGAGCTACTTACGCAAGTTAACCTCGCCACCTGCTCTTTGCCAGTCAGCACCATATTATTCGATCTTCAATCTCTGTTAGATAACGTGACTGGGTGTCTTCTTCAAGACGAATTTGCTACTAGAAAGGTCCAAGAGAAACGAACTTCCATGGACGCTGCTTATGAGCATGCTTCGAAGCTCTCTAAAGAAGCTGAAGACCAAGCCATGCATATAAAGCAAGCCAAAACTGACTATGAAGCTCGAGCTGAGTCTATTCTTCTCTGGGAAAAGCAAATTCAAGAGCTTCAACTAAAGGTTAAGGAGGCTCAACAACAACAATTGGCCTATGAAACCAATACTGCTGGCAATCAGTTCGAAGAGCTCCTCAACAAAGGACTTGCAGAAATGGAAGCAGCATAGCAACTTAAGGGAGAAGTAGCTACCCTAGAAGGAGCAAGGCGTTTTACTCAACAAAGGCTTGAGTCCTTTCGGAGTACTTTTAATAGATTGAGGAACAATGCCTATTTTTAAATCTCTGTTTATTTAATTAGTTTTGAAACTTGGTTGAATTTTGGTCTGTAATATCCAAACAACGCCATTTTGGCAATCCTATATTACCATTTTGGCATTCCTTTATGATGTTTCAATTACGTTGTTATTATTCGAATCTCCTGCAGGCGTGGCTTATATTTCTTTAAATATTTCCCATTAACCTTTAGGATTCGCTTATCATCAGCCAACTCTTCGATTTCATATGCATTTTTTGAAAATATCTTTACTATTCGAAAAGGTCCTTCCCAATGAGGTGACCATTTACCTAATGTTTTATTTTTCTTGTCCATGGGCAATATGACTTTCCAGACTAAGTCATTAATAGTGAATGCTTTTCCTTTCACCCTTTTGTTATATGCCCTGGCTACCCTTTCCTTTTGTCTCATTAGGATTTCCAATGCATGCAATCTAACTTCATCTAACTCAACTAACTCATTCATCATCATCTCCCAATATAATGCAGATGGGATTTCGTTTTGTCTTTAAATTCGAACTGATTGTAGATGAATTTCTACTGGTAGAACTGCATCATGACCAAATGTTAGTTGAAAAGGCATGGTGTTAGTAGCTTCTTTAGGAGATGTTCTACAGGCCCATAGTATTTGGTCCAAAGTCTTGTGCCAGTTCCTTGGCTTTTTACCAACATGTTTCTTAATTAACCCTATTATCACTTTATTGGCTGCTTCGACCTGACCATTTGCTTGAGCATAATATGGTGTTGATGTTAGTAATCTAAACCCCATCTCTTGAGCAAATTCTTGCATCTTCCTACCAGTAAACACAGAACCTTGGTCTGTGGTTATGCTCTCTGGCAATCCGAACCTATAGATAATTTGTTTCTGTATGAACTCAATAATAGCCTCTTGATCAGCAGCTACTAATGGTATTGCTTCTATCCACTTGGTAAAATAATCTATTCCTACCAAGATATATTTCTGTCCTTTAGACGAAGCATGATTTATTTATCCTATTAAATCCAATGCCCATCCTCTAAAGGGACATGGTTTAATGATCGAATGTAACTCACTTGCAGGAGCATATTGAATCCCTGCATGTTTCTGGCATTCTTCACACCCTTTAGCAAAGTCTATACAATCTTTGAGCATGCTGGGCCAATACATGCCATATCGAAATAACAACCATTTCATTTTATGACCTGCTTGATGTGCCCCACATGCCCCATTGTGGACTTCTGACAATGCTAAGTATGCCTCACTTTCTCCTAGGCATTTCAGTAATACGCCTTCCTGGGTCTTTTTGAACAATTCATTTCCCATGAGGACATATGATAATGCTCTATATTTTATCTTCCTATCAACATTCAAAGTTGGATTTGTTAAATAACTCACAAGTGGACTTCGCCAATCTGCATCTGATAAGGTGTCTATGGCTAGTACTTCGAATCTCTGTTTATCAGCATAACCTAATTTTATATTCTCTAGATCTGATGGTATGAATCTAGTAGCCATAACTCTACCTCTTAATTCGACCAAATCCTCAATGTTTTTGGTAGAAACTTTATAACCTGAAGCCAACTGTGCTAAGTCATTTGCTTCTTGGTTTTCTATTCTTGGTATATGTTGAATATCCATGTATTCGAATTTTCTAAGTAGCCTGTTAACTATGACGAAGTATGTCATCAGATTTTCCTTTATGCATTTGTACTCCTTTGTTATTTGCTTGACCACTAACTCTGAGTCTCCTTTAATTTCGACTCTAGTTGCCCCCAAATCCAACAAAGCTTCGAGTACAACAATAAGCGCTTCGTATTCCGCTTCATTGTTCGAGCAACGAGGACCATCTAACTTATACTTGAACTTTGTTGGAATTCCTTCAAGAGAAATTATAAGAACTCCAACACCACTACCATCCCTATGGGTCGAACCATCAAAGTATAATTTCCAAGGTTGCATTTCAACGTAACCCATCACAGTATTTTCGACCAGTGAATGGTCCACAATGAAATCAGAAATTACTTGACCTTTCACAGCTCTTAAAGGCATGAAAGTTAAAGAATATTCTATTAAGGCTAAAGCCCATTTACCAATTCTGCTATGCATTATTGGTTTCGAAAGCATGTGTTTGATAACATCAAAATGAGATGAAACATAAACATCAACAGGCTTTATATAATACTTAAGTTTCATACAAGAAAAGTACACACTACGCCAAAAATGATTTTTTTGTATCACCTAATTTAATAGCACTTTTAAAAAAAATGCTATTAAAATGGAAAAAACACATTTATAATAGCACTTTTTAATCGGGCGCTATTATATAATACAGACTATGTAATTTTGATAGCACTTTGTACCAGAACGCTATTATTAAACTTCTTTAAGATAGCATTTTGTATAAAACACTATTATTTGACTACCTATATAATAGCATTTATTAAAAAGCGCTATGTTATATATAATAATAAATTAATTAATTAATTGATAAAAAAAAAAAACAAAACACATTTTCAGAAAATTGGGTGTTGGTGCTATTTAAGAAAACTTTATGGGTGATTTTGACAGTTGCACGTCCAAACAACAAGACTGGAGACACCTCCTTGTCAATCGTCTCTGAGCTTTCCGATCTACGCCACTCTCAATCCGTGTCACTCCCGGTAAGTCATCCACCACCGTTCTCCGTTCTTTTCTCTTCTCTATAGCTTTGCCCCACTTGTATCAATCTCATTATCTCTTCTGGTTTGCCCGCAAAGTGTTTAATAAATGTTATGACCATGGTTTTCTATCAACCTTAGAGAAAGAGGAATCATCAATAACACTATTCATTCTCCTCTAATAGTTTCCCTTTCAAATTGCTTATTTCTTTTAGGGAATAGTATTATGATAATTTGCTTACAAGCACCCAAAGAGTTCAACAAAGAGTGAAGGTTGGACCACAGTATGGTCCAAACCTGATAATATATGTCTTTATACTGTCAGTTCTGGTAGTGGTGTTTGTGGATACAATAGCTTCTGCACTTTGGGACAGGATAAGAGACCAACGTGTCAGTGTCCAAAAAGTTACTCTCTAGTTAATCCTGATGATCCATATGGTAGCTGCAAGCCAGATTTTATACAAGGATGTGAAGAAGATGAACTGAGTAAAAGAAAGGATCTCTATGACTTTGAGGTTTTGATTAACACTGATTGGCCTTTCTCAGATTCTGTGCTTCAAAGGCCTTTTACTGAAGAACTGTGTAAAGAAGCTTGTATGGGAGATTGCATGTGTTCTGTGGCTATTTTCAGGTTAGGTGATAGTTGTTGGATGAAGAAGTTACCACTCTAAAATGGGAAAGTTGATCCAACACTTAATGGTGCTAAGGCTTTCTTGAAAGTGAGAAAAGATAATACCTCCCTCCAGTCCTTTGATTTTCCTCCATTTCCAATCATTGCGAACAAGAATAATAATAGGGAAACGTTGGTTTTGGTTGTTTCTGTGCTTTTTGGTAGCTCTGCTATTCTCAATGCTGTATTGCTTGTAGCAATATGTTTCAGCACCTCCATGATTGTTCAGTACAAGAAGAAGCTTAGAAGAGTTAGCAGAAGTGAAACTAGTGTTGAAACCAATTTGCGTTGCTTCACTTACGAAGAGCTTGAAGAAGCTACTAATGGATTTGACAAAGAGCTAGGAAGGGGAGCTTTTGGTATAGTTTATGAAGGAGTCGTCAACAACAACACATGTTCCGAAACTCGTGTGGCTGTGAAAAAGTTGAACAATTTTTTGTTGGATCAAGCTCATAGAGAATTCAGGAATGAACTGAATGTCATTGGTCTCACTCATCATAAGAACTTAGTTCGTTTACTTGGATTTTGTGAGGGTGGAAGTGAAAGATTGCTTGTTTATGAGTACATGAGCAATGGCACTTTGGCAAGTTTACTTTTCAATGCTGATGAGAAACAGAAACCAAGTTGGAAACTAAGGCTTGAACTTGCAATAGGAATAGCAAGGGGACTTGTGTATTTACATGAAGAGTGCATTACTAGGATCATCCACTGTGACATAAAGCCTTAAAATATACTTCTTGATGATTACTTCAATGCAAGAATTTCTGACTTTGGACTAGCCAAGTTGATGAACATGAATCAAAGAAAAACCAACACTGGCATTAGGGGAACAAAATGGTATGTTGCACTTGAATGGTTTAAGAACATGCCTATCACAGCTCAAGTGGGTGTGTATAGTTATGGAGTAGTGCTACTTGAGATTATTTCATGTAGAAGATGTGTTCAAGAAATGGAACAAGAAGATGAAGAGAAAGCAATATTAACTGACTGGGCTTATGATTGCTACAAGGATGGTGCTGTAGATGCATTGGTTGAGGGTGACAATGAGGCATTGGATGACAGAAAAGTTGGAGAAATTGGTAATGATTGCAATTTGGTGTGTTCAAGAGGATCCAGTTCTTAGACCAAGCATGAGAAATGTGATACATATGCTTGAAGGTACTGTTGAAGTGCAAGTTCCACCATACCCCTCACAAATTAGTATTCAATATTCTCTAATTTAATAACTTGGTTTGCAAGATTTGCAGATTGTGCTAATCCTTGTTTTATTGTTTTAATTGAAACTGTAAAATTTGAATTTATGTCTGTGTATCAAGCTGTGGTTTTTTGTTCCTTGAACAGTAGTATTTGAGGTTCAAGATTGATTAGTTTACTGGGTATGAATAAACTTGATTACCCAGTTGTCTTGGATAATGTTAGTTTAATTATAAATTATCATATGTTTTCTACAAAATAAAATGCAACGTTAAATAGTTTACATATTATGATTAATCTAATTATATTTTACTAGATAGATTGCATTTCAAATCAATTTCCAGTTTGTGTGTTTGTACAATATTATGATTAATCTAATTATATTTTACTAGATAAAATGCATTTCAAAACAAACTTTCTGTACAAAATTATATTTTATTGGTTTAGAAGATATGGCACAGAAGATATTGTACTGTACTTATTAAAAATATTGTACCAAATATGTACCATTTATTAGCACTTTATTTGAAAGCGCTATCAAACATATGTTATATATTAGCGCTTTTTGTTTAGAGTGCTATAAAAAAACAAACAAAAAACATGCAAAATACTGACTTTGATAGCACTTTAATTAAAACGCTATTATAAATTGGTACTTTAATAGCGCTTTTAAAGTGCTAGTAAATAAGAAATATTTACAATAGTGGCGCGGTTAATAGCACTTTTAAGCGCTATCAAAAACAAAAAAAAAGCGCTATTAAATAGCTTATTTGGCGTAGTGACAAACAGAGACATAGCTTTTCTATATTGCTATATCTAGTCTCTGCATCATTTAATACCCTACTTAAATAGTATATGGCTCTTTCGATGCCATTGCTATCTTCTTGTGCTAACATACTACCTATAATAACTTCAGAGGCAGATATGTACAATCTCATGGGCTTTCCCCATGAAGGTGGAGACAAGATGGGAGGCTGAGAGAGATATCTTTTTATCTTGTCAAATTCCTCCTGATGGGCTTCGTTCCACTCGAAGGCTTGGCCTTGCTTCAAACGAAGCAACAGAGAGAAAGCTTGGGTCCTTCCACTTAGATTCGAAATGAACCTTCTGAGAAAGTTAATCTTCCCTAGCAAAGATTGCAGCTCCCTTTTTGACGTAGGTGCTTTCATCTCCATTATGGCTTTGGTCTTATTTTGGTTGATCTCGATTCCTTTTTTATGAACCACAAAGCCAAGGAAATCTCCAGCCTGCACAAAAAATGCACACTTAAGGGGGTTCATTTTTAAGCCATGTTTTCTCATTCGTTCGAATGTTTGGCTCAAATGATGCAAATGGGTTTCTGCAGATATAGATTTGATGACTATATCATCAATATACACCTGCATAAAGGTGTCAATGAAATCATGAAAAATCGAATTCATTTCCCTTTGATAAGTTGCCCCAGCATTCTTTAAACCAAAAGGCATCACTACCCATTCGTAGGTGCCTAAGGCTCCTGGGCAACGAAATGCTGTCTTGGCAACATCTTCTTCAGCAATAAAAATCTGATTGTACCCAGAATATCCATCTAACATACTTAAATATTCGAATCCTGCAGCAGAGTCTACTAACATTTCTGCCACAGGCATGGAGTACTCATCTTTAGGGGTTGCAGTGTTTAAATCCCAAAAATCTATGCAAATTCTCAGAGAGCCATTTTTCTTAATAACATGCACTATATTTTCTAACCATTCGACATACCTTGTGGTTCTGATGAATCTGCAGCGCAACAACCTTTCGATCTCATCTTTGATCTTTGTGAGGACCGCTGGTGTGAATCTTCTAGGAGTTTTCTTGATGGGCTTCTTGCCATCCTTGATTGGAAGTCTATGCTCCACTAACTCCCTCTTTAAACCAGGCATTTCATCATAGTCCCACGCGAAGCAATCTTTGTTTCTTTTGAGGACTTCAATCACCTCCTGCCTGAGGCCTGGATTAAGTTTTGCGCTTATGTAGGTTATTCTTTTCGTGTTCTCATCCCCCAGATTCACTTCTTCGAGCGGATCCTGCGCCAACATCTTGGCACCTGAGTCTATGGGGTCCTTCTCGAAGCCTAAGGGTTCTTTATCATAGATGGCGTCTAGCCTTTGATCTATTTCATGTTCTTCAAAGGGTGAGCCTTTCGAACCATCCCCATTTATTTCGTTCACTTCTACGGCCAATTTATCTATTTCAGCCTCTAAGGCCGCTTTCCATTCGTTCTCAGCCATATAGGCCGAAATCCTTTCGAAGAAGGAGGACTCAATCATGAGCAAGGTTGTCGAACTCCCAGCCTGCTGGCCGTCTTTGCATAGTACCTTCGACTCCTTCATCTTCACTGACTATTCTTCTATCCCAATATATGCCATCATGGCGAAGGGTCATATAATAGTGTGCGTTCCTGGTTTCGTTGATTTCGTCATTAGGGACACAAGGAGCAATCTTGGCCAAATGTTTGTCATAATTCCTCTTGTCAACTAAGTTGACTGCTGTCATGAAGTAACTCTGGTCCGCTTCAATGTTCTCCACGATCCCATCTTCTCTCCATAAAACCAACCTCTTATGCATTGACGAAGGAACTGCTCCTACGCCATGGATCCACTCTCTTCCCAACAACAAGTTGTAGTTGGCTTTGGCTTCGATCACCATGAACATGGTGGGCCTGCAGATCGATCCTATCGTCAAGTCCAGTTGAACTACCCCCAATGTTTGACCTACTTTCCCTTCATAATTGGATAGAACCATGTTGTGTGGTTTGATGTCACCCTCGCGTATTTCTAACTTTTTCAGCATGAAATGGGGTATTAAGTTAACTGCAGCGCCCCCATCCACTAAGACCTTATTTACGCCATGGGCACCAACCTTTGCCCGAATGAATAATGGCTTCAGATGATTTTTCATAGCTGGCTCTGGGCGCTCGAAGAAAGCATTCTGCTCCTCGACAGCTCTGTTATCCATCACGTAGTAACACACAGGCCTATGCTTCATCAGATCTATTGTATCATCCTCCTCATACTCTTCGATTTCAGTTTCCTGTCCAAACTCACAAGGCAGTACAGATACCACGTTGCAATTGATATTGAGTGAATACTCCCCCTCTGATTCGAACTTATCCGTTAGCATATCCTCGTCTTCTTCTGGACCTGGTGTGTATTCCTTCGATTCATTTGGTTGCGTTTCAGAGAAGAGTCTCCTACTAACTGGGGGTTTGTCCTCAGGTTGATTATTTGGTGTGGGTTTGTTGGTGCTTGATTCTCCTTGGTTTTTTATCGAAGTTGCTCCTTTATTTTCCATAGCTTCCCTTTCGGCCTTTCGAATTCTCTGTTGCCTTCGCCATTGTGATCTTGACATAGGATTTCTTCCTTTGTAGTTTTCTAACCTCACTTCTTCCCTCTTTGCCATGTTGAACTGCCTTCTATATGTCATGGCGTGGCGTGCGTTTCGTTCGGTGTTTCTCCATTTGTCTTTGCCCTTGTCAGTTCTGACTTGCAGCCATTTGTCTGTTGGTATTTCAGCAGGAATTTTGAATGTTACTCTTCGTGCGCCTTTGGGATGAGGACTATCAGGCCTTCGTTGAGTGTATTTGCTATCGAAATGTTGGCCCATCTGACCATTCTCTTGGTGCTTCCAGCATGGGGCGAAAGGGATTGTTTCGAAGGCTCTGGCCATACTTTGATCGTACACTGCAGAACACCTTGGGCATACTAGGCATTTGGTTGCCCCTTTGTAACAGCGAACCAAAAACTCCAACAAACTTTCTCCAGCTTTAGGGTAACACCTGAATAACTGGTTATCCTGGCGCCAGTTGATGCCAGTTCGTGCCCTTTGTTTCCTCTCAAAGTTTGCAGCAATTCTCTGGTTGCAGATGATGCTGCATCTAGGGCATAGTATCATTTTGGCATCTCCTTTGTGGCACAACATGAGGTAATCTTTAAGACTGGCATCCCCAGCATAATTATCCTCCATTTTGTATTTCTCTTTTTCTAAGTATCTCTCCATCTCCTCCATTTCAGAACGAGGTCTCTCCATATCCACCATGTTGACATCTACATCCTCCCCCTTTATGCCATCATCTCCCCATCCTGTAGGTTTTACATCTTCGATTTGGATTTTTGAACTTTCTGGGGCAGCATACTTCACCAAGTAGTCAAACTTTCCACTGGGCTCTCCTAAAGTATCCCATATTTCTTTCTGAGGGGAGGCTGGCTTTGTGATCTAGACTTTCTCCAAATTTAGCCTCAGGTCTTCAGTAACCTGTGTCAACTCTTGCTTTTGGTTCTCCTGGCCTTCAGTAGCCTGGATCTCTTTCGAAACAGTCAAAGGTACCGCTTCGATCGAAGCCTCTAGTTGCTTGTGGACGTCCTCAGTGACCCCCTTGTTGACTTCGACTAACACCCAGTTTTCATTCTCAGTGCCTTTCTCTCCTAATGGAGTGTCATCTTGATCTTCTCCAACCATATTGATTTCTCCAATGCATGCAGGCTCGGAGTAATTGGTGTCTGCAACATCCAAAGG